TGGCTCAGGAATTCTGGGAGTTGAAGTCCACCAGTCATAAAAGAGCCAAGATGGCCTACCCCTGTCCTAGACCAAACTTTCACATTTCTGTTTTTTAATAGTGGATAAGGAATTTTCAAGGAAGTCAAATCATCCATTATTTTTTGGGGGAAAGATTATTCTAAGTTGTATATTGAGGTTGTTTTTTTTTTTGCCTGAATAGTATAGTGTAGACTTCTTCAACTTAAGTGCTCACCAGAAATCCCCCCTTCAAATACTCTTGGGTCCTTTACTACGGATTCGTCTAAACCAGGGTTTGTCCAACTTGTTAAGTGAATCGCTGCAACCGTTTAGTAACACCGTCGCTAAAAGAGACCGGCTTCCCCTTTGGCTTGGCTTGGCAGAAGGTTGCAAAAGGGGATCACCGCAGCCCGTCATAAACACAAACCGGCTGAATTTTGATCGCGTGACCACGAGGACGCTGCAATGGTCTTTTAAGCGTGAAAAACGCTTATCGCTTTTCTCAGTGATGTTGTGACTCTGAACGGTCAATAAACGAACGGTTGTAAGCCATTCCGACGGCCTCAGCAAGTTCCCACAACGCACCCGCGCAGAGACCAACAGACACACAAAAGAGAGGAGGGAGCCAGCTTGCCCTGATTTGGAGTTTTATTTTTCATTTGCTGTCGTCGCTTCAACATCGAAGTCCGAAAACTGTGTGCACGTTCCTGCCTGCGCTCCGCTACTCCTGGCGGGGCTCGCCTTGTAAGCAGGAAGCGAGTCTCTTTTCAATAGGAAAATATATATATATATTTGTGGTGTGTGTGAGTGTGTGCGTGTGTGTGTTTATATATATTTATATATGAATCTAAATGGAAAAAAAATAATAATATACAGATAGAAGAGTTACTAGCTGGGGAAACTGCTCCTTCGGCATGGAGGATCAGCTCTGTAGGATCCAAGGCCAAGAGGTATTAAGTGATCAAGGCAGTCCAGATCAGGAGGAAGGCTGGCCCAGCCCCCTTAGGAGATGGCCTTCGCTTCCGGGAGAAAGGCTTCCCAGTATTTCACCAGCTGGGGGGGAAGACAAAGAAAAAGAGGAGACATCAGAGAGCAATTTTCCAGCTGCTTATCAGAAAGATTCCTGGTATCCCCCCTTCCCCCGTTGATTGTGACCCTCCGGGTAATCCATGGAAGTGGTGAAGGCACCCAGGCAGGAAACAGGAGACGGTGAATTCTAGTCCTGCCTTAGCCATGAAAGCCAGCTGGGTGACTTTGATCTCAGTGTCAGAATCCAGTTATATTTCATCTCTAGTTATCAACTATGGAAAACCCCATTTCTGCCCTCTCTGGATTCTGTCGTACTACGAAAGGGAAGGGGGATGAGCAAAGGGGTTTTATGGCTCTCACTTCCTTCCTTACAACTTCAAAGGGACTGAATGTGGATCGCACCAAAAGGACTGATCATAACAATAGGGCCCATCAGCTTTTATCTACTCCTCTCTGAAGTTTCACTTCCGCCGCCGTGAGGAAAAGGGGGTAGAAATGTAACGCCTGGGATTATCGCTGGAAGGACGGTGGGATGGGGGGGGCTGCTTGGGAACACTTAAAACCTTGAACCGTAGGGCTTGGGCCCCAGGTCCTGTCTAGAACGCCTGCAACCATGTTCTCTTAATAAAGATGCCTGTTGGAAGAAATATTCCAAGAGTTCTGTCTTCTTAAGATGCAAAGTGGGGTGGGTCCTTACACTCAGTGCTATTGCTAAGCACTAAAATAAAATAAATAAAATAAAAGACTATTCACGTGACAGGAAAAGCCCAAACTATATGAGCCTTCAAGTTATGAGGCTGATTTGTTACAACTCATATTGCTCCACCCTACAGACGTGACCAGAGCTGGTCTTTCTCATGTCCATCTAGGTGTGTATCAAAGGCACCAACGAAGGAGGGGCCCTATTTATTGATAAGCCAAGCTTGTCCATAAATACAGGATGTGACACCTGCCAAGGGGATGCACAGGGCATCTCTCTCACCTGCTGCTGGGAATGGAGCAACGTCTCCAGGTATTTGGTCACGTGTGTCCGGAAATCTTTCGTTTTTTCTTTCTGTAACACAAGTTTAAGAAATAAAAACCACAGGCACACAGATACCTTCTGTGGCACAGGATACTGCAAACCACCAGGAAAGATCCTAGAATTGGAATTTCGCCTGACCATTTTCTGAGTCGGCCATTAAGCCCACGTGTGTCTCAAGCTTGACAAGCAGCAGACAAATAGCCAGCTTACAACAACTTGCTGGAAAAAGTGCAACTGAAATTTTAACGCAACGGGCGTAGGTAGGACATGAGGGGGAAAATCGAAAAAGTCACAACGGAGGCTGGGACCGAGTGAGCAAAGCCCTGCCTCTTTTAAATGTGGATTGAGCAGGTGGGCTCTTGATAATTTAATTGCATTTGAAGTCTCCTACTGGGTTCTCCCTCCCTCCCTTTTTCCTGGGACTGAGAACGCTGCTGATGGAAGGGAATCCAGGGCTCATTTAACCAGGGAAGTGAATCTATTATTATTATTAATCTGTTTTCTATTATTTCAGGGAAGTGATTCTTTGGGGGCCAGACGTTTTCTTAAGATTAGTTCTGCTTCTTTGGGCCGCTGTGAAACTGGGAGGGGCTCCGGGGTGCTAAAAGAGGCACCTCACCTACCTCAAACCGTAAGACCTCTTTCCGGAGGACAGCAGAGAGCCGTTCAAACTCCCGCTCGTACTGGGTCACGCGAGATTCCCACTGAACAAATGGAAAAAATGTACACTATATAAAATATATCAATGGGGCTCGTTTACAGTCGTAGGAGGACTGCCGGTATTGCAAGATTTACAGGCGACAAAATGCAAGTTGCAACGGAGAAC